ACTTCTAAAAATTACATTATAATTTCCAAAACAAATTTTTATACAATTGCATTTAGTTTATAAAATATGGCCAGATATGTTACATAATGATGTGTTCATCAGTTGCAGAAAGTGACTTTCTTTTCTACCTTATACTTTGCATTATTCCTGTCACAACCAATGGATCAACATTCAGTTGATCCGAAGAAAAGCAGACCCTGCACCTGTGGGGAAAATGCTAGGAAGGAGGAAAAAAGTGTTTAACAATCTAAATCAGTGTAAAAAGAAACTACAAGATTGTTAAAGATCACATAATTTTTCAACCTAAAAAGGAAATAGAAGATCCTTTTGCTTAGTTAGCAACCTTCTAGGTGTCCCCATTTTTGCAATAAAGTTTTATTTTTAAAATATGTGGAAAAGAACCGATTCTTTTGCAAGAAACATGGAACAGATAATCTGATGATTAAACATTACTACAAATCATATCTTCATATTAATTTGAACCTATATCATATCTACAAACATTTATTCTAACTCCTAGGTGACTTGAAGTGTCTTTTAATTAAAGAAAGAAGCCAACAGTGAAGGAAGGTGAAACATTTTAATGGTTGGTGAATGTCATTTGTTTCTGAGATAGTGACACTCTGCTTTAAACTAATACAACATGCCTTGCCATAAACCATGGTTTAGAAATCACAGTAGCTTGGTTTGTACAACACTAAATTGAAACCAATCTAACCACATTATGACTTAACGTGAATCTGGCCAGAAAGAGAGGTGATGCATAGTCTGCTTCAACCAATTGGGCAAACATATGCTGGCCTTCACCTTGACTCATTTCTTCTTCTGTTAAATTAACAATAGTTGCAATGGAAGCTGGAGAGAAGGTCCTATGTCACCCGTGGTTTCTTGGGAATCTTTCTTATCCCCAAAACAGCTTTTTTGAGAAAAAGCCAGCATAACAACCTATAGATTTTCTAGCAAAAAGCCTAAGTTGTGCTGAACCAATGCAAAAGGTCTACCCCAATTTAAATATAAAAACTTTGAAAAACCAGTTTAAATGATAGTTACTTTTTGCTGGGGCCCCAGCTTGACATGAGAGGAAGAACAATACAGGAATCATTAAAGAATGGTTTGCCTTATGTTTATATCTGTCTGCCATTAAACTGCATGGACTGCGTGGTAAAGCCTTCAAGATGATAACCCTGAATTTAAGATGCCTCTTCCAAAGGAAGGTTTGATTTAAAAAAAAAATTACCATATTCTCATCAAATCTCAGACAACCCTCCTTCTAAATTATTTGAGAAATAAAGGCTAGTTTTCCCTATCAACTAATTTCAGGGTAAACAGCCTGAGGCTTAGAATCCGGAAGCTACAGCTGGCGCAGAATGTGGTGGCGTGGACAGTTCTGAATGCACCTAGGAGGGCACATATAATACCGCTGTTACACGAGCTGCATTGGTTGCCAGTCTGCTT